ATGGTGGACAGCAGTGGTGTAGTTGGGGCTATACGCACGTATACTCCGTATGGTCAGGAACTCTGGTGTAACTTGAATGGGAGCAGGCGAGCATCTGCCGTAGTGCTGTGTGTGAGAGAGAGAAAATGAGAGAGAGCACTACTGTTTTGCGCTATTGCCCTTTTTGCACTGTCTTGTTTGTATGCAGCAATGCTGCACTATTTTGGCAATACAAATAATGTTTTTTGGTTGATTTTTAGGGAGGCCTATTTAATCTATATACATTATTTCTCGGCCCAATATGTACCTGCTATGTGTATAGAAATAATGCTGACATGATATATCAAATATTTGAGATTTTGAAAATTTACGGGAAACGATTGGGGCGGGTAGAAAACAGGGCGGGTCGGGCAGCAGGTGAACAAAGGCTGAATATAAAGAGCAGGATTAAAACTTCAGTTTCATGCAGATAACTGCCCCTAGCCCAAGCCCTGTCGCAGCCTGAACCAGTACTTTTAACAAGCATGTGGTCGGATTGGTCTACCTGGTACTTCAATTTTTACGAACGTGCATTCGTCGGTGGCCACCCACGTCCGATCTGGTTCCAGGCATTCAAAACGAGATTCCCATAGTTTCGGACCTCCACCCATCAACTAACTCAGGTCAAGTACTTTCACTCTGCCGATCTTTGTAATAATCTGATGGGTGTTTTGAGCTGAAACTTTACAGACACATTTTGGAGACACAAAAGACCGATTTTAAATCTTGAAAAGGGTAAAACGGGTGCCCTACTGCCCTTTAAGCATAGTTCAGTAGATTACAGGCAGCCATACATAGATAAAGAGGAGGGTGGGGGGCAGTCACCTCCATTTCCGGGACATTATATCTCATTCGCAAGGACCAGGGAGCCACTATAAATATGCGGGAGCCTCCCAAATCTTCTGGGAGACTTGGGATGTCTGGATATATTTGTAAAAACATAGAAGCTTGATCAATTTTGTCACTGAAACCATAACCTCTGGTGTGACAATGCAAGCTAATTGAAAACCAGCAATTCCACAGAAAACCTTAACTAGTTTAAAGAATATTTAACTTTTGTGGCACTATAAAATTGTTAAGTTTTATTGTCCTTTGGTGTAACTCCCCAAGTACAAACTATGATGATACCAACAATAATAATAAATAGATGTGACGCTATTTGTGTATTACTAAGAATGTTTTTTCTTATTTTTTTCTGTCACACAATAGGACATATTTAAGGTACAATTCAAAAAAGAATTGATAAAGTGGATCAGTTTAGTGACCCTTTACATTTACCAATTTTTTTTCTTAAAAAATGGTTTTGCTTGTTTTACAAAAAAGCATTTACTACTCAGCTACAGATTCATGTCCGATTGTCAGTATAGACAAAAATCTCTGAGGGATGTTTCCACAGCCTTGTAGAATCTTTGCTACAAAGAATTAAGTCAGTTCCAAAGGCATAAAGGGTGTCTTACCCTATATTACCTAAGTGTATTTATACCTAAAATAGTGGCCAGTGAATATTGTAAATAAATGTGTTTTTATAAACCTGTCTACTGGAAGAACGATAATTAATGAACAAAGCTGGGTTGCACTTTATATAATACTAATATGTGCTTACACTGAATTTAATCATTTGTTACTATGTAAGTATTGTGTAAATACATGTTTTTACATTGTACTTATGAATGATTAAATACATTTACAAAGCCACTTAATATAAAATGGGATCTAAAACTCGAATAACTAATAACTCCCCTGGCATTCTCAGACTATACTTGGGAAATGCACTTACATGCATCTTACAGTGGTTTCGTTCTGATCTGACCAACATATGTATTAATGTGTGTAAGCTGGCCATGAGTTTGCCTCCAGAATTCCTTTCAATTGTAAAGTTTCATAGGGATCAATCTTCGGGCCTGTATTATTCACCCTGTACATGTATCCCTGTAGCTTCCATCTTTAATAAACATAAAGTATGTTTTCGTCTACAGTATAAGCAGATCTATTTCCTCTATTTTACTTTAAAACAGTATGATAAAAATGGCTTGCATACAATTTGGCCTGCTTAATTGAGCTTAAACTTAGATCCTTAAACAATGTTCTCAGTTTAAATGAAAATAAACTGAAATAATATTTGGCAAAAAAAAAAATTGTGTTAGATGTTGATTCTCTGCTACCGCATGTAAATCACTGCAATAAACAGATCAGTACTAACAGGTGTCTGACCAAGAAAAACAGGTCAGTACTGTTGTAAAGTCTTTCATCTCTGACAACTTTCTAATGTCAAACCATTCTTAAGAGCAGATTCCAAATGGCAATCTATGCCTTAGCAACAAATCATCTGAATTACTGTTTAGATTTCTCCTCACTATGGTGATGCTCACAGTTATCACTCTCTAGTGTGTAGACATTTTAAAATGCAGCTGCTATACTCTCTGGCACCCTAACTGCTATTTTATCTGCACTCCACTGGTTATCTACCCTTACAAAATGACATTTGCTGTTTGTTTAAACTACTTATTTCAACTGAGCTGAAAAAACACAATTCTTGAGTTTTTTTGAAGGGACAACTTCATTGCTTTATGTTCAAATCCACTTAAATTTGTAAAACCTAACAAGTTAACTTAATTCATTTACGTTGTCCCAACACAAACCGATAGCATAGAACTTAGCTTTTTTATTTAGTGTACAAACATAAAATTGATTTTAAAATGTTATTTGTATACAAAGCCGTCAAAAATCTTACTTACAGTACCAAAGTATAAAGACAGTAGGCTCTGTCTTTATATGCCATCCAGCGATCTTAATTTACTCATTATGCATAGAACTCACTATAAAAAACGAGAGCTTTGTGTATTTGAAATTGCTGGTCCTAAACTGTGGAGCAGTCTACCGCTTAGACTATCCTCCTCTTTTTTTCCTTAAGTGTGCTTTAAAAACCTATCCATTTTCTCTCACTTTTTTCTCAATACTCCTTGACTACTGGTTCTATTATTGCTTTTATTGATTAAATCTAATAGTCTTGTTAGATTTTTCCTACTTTTTCTTTTACTACACTTATGTATGGCACTTTGGTTGTTTTTAAATGTGCTTTATAAATAAATACTGTATTGTATTATATAGATTTTTTTGGTCCCACTGTTTTTCATGCTATTTTATTGGCTTGAGACTGTCAATCTAACTCCAGAACTGAGCTTTGCTTGTGGCCCTTCTAGAGTAATCAAACACACACAGAAACAGCAGCATCTGGCATGCTGTCAGTTTCTGCTATCACTGAGAGAGGAAAAACCTCAGTTGAAAAAGTTTAAGCAACAAGATCAGTACAAAAAGTGTTTTTTCCATACCTGTCTTATTTGGACTGGTTTGGATGGTCTGGGTAATGCAGTCATGTGGTCACTCTGCAAGATTATGAAAGTCAAACATTTCAATTTGAACATTAAAATCAAACATGATTTTTACATTTTTATTCAAACTAACAAACTATTTCATGTTTAAGCAGTTTCATGTCTAAAAGTTTAAGATGAAAAGACATACGCACACAATGTGGAAATATATCTGAAACAGCCTTTCAGATGTCAGATTTACCATCAAAACTGAACTGAGTCTTCTGTATCCACTCTTCTCACGTCATGCTTTGATCTATCTTTAGCCTGACCTCATCTCATTTGCAGAGCAACCATTAGTACAGAAATTACGTATGTATAAACATAAGTGTAATCACCATACTACATTTGATTTAAAATAATGTAAACTGTCTGGAAATTAAAAGAGTGGCAAAGCATAAAGATATAAAACAACAGTTAATGAGCATTTTGGGACTGTACTCTGATCCTTAGTTATAGTTGTATAATATGTAATCAAAAATCCTTGCTCCAAATATGACTGCCATTTTTTTTTTTTTTTTTGCATGTAAACTGTTGTTACACTGGAAGGGCGGCATATTAGTTTGTGCCTTATATAAACGAAAAAATGCATGTCCAAAATAGATAAAATTGACATATAAACAGTTAAAGTCAAAATTATTAGACCCCCCTTTGAAATTCTTTTTTTTAATATTTCCCAAATTATGTATAACAGAGCAAGGAAATTTTCACAGTATGTCCGATAATATTTTTTCTTCTAAAGAAAGTCTCATTTGTTTTATTTTGGCTAGAATAAAATCAGTTTTTAATGTTTTAAAAACTATTTTAGGGTCAAAATTATTAGCCCCTTTAAGCTATTTTTTTTCGAGAGTCTACAGAACAAACCATCGTTATACAATAACTAGCCTAATTACCCTAACCTGCCTAGTTCACCTTATTAACCTAGTTAAGCCTTCAAATGTCACTTTAAGCTTTATAAAAGTGTCCTGAAAAATATCTAGTCAAATTTTATTTACTGTCATCATGGCAAAAAATTAATCACTTATTAGAAAAGAGTTATTAAACTATTATGAGTAAAAATCTTCTCTCCGTTAAACAGAAATTGGGGGAAAAACAAGGGGCTAGTAATTCAGGGGGATATATATATATATATATATATATATATATATATATATATATATATATATATATATATATATATATGATAATAAGATGTATGTATTATTATTATTATTCATTGACTTAATGAACAAAAAACATAAAACCCCCTTCAAATTATTTGAAACTCTTGTGCAGTAATAACACGTATTACATTATAGAAGAACTTTGGTTTGCGTTAAAAGTGTTACAAAATAACAAACGGTAGCAAAGTCTGAAAGAACAACCAAACAAAAACCACTTTCAGTTTGCAGTTTGACAGCGCATTTTCGCGGTATGCGGATGACACCTCACTAATCCTGCTAAACAAACAGGAAGTGACGCTCCGAGAAGTGTTCCATGTGCACCCGATGTGGACCAATGAAAACGCTTATAGTCATTCATCGCGGGAATCAGCCAATCACGTTGCGAGTCGTGGTGCAGTAAACTTCAGCACTGTCACTGCGCTCTGAAAAGCGATCAGCTGTTCTGTGCTTGATGCAACTTTGGGACTGAAAGCATCGGGTAAGTTAAAAGCAGACATTTTCTTTTACCGCTAAGCATAAATTACAGCTTAATATACGTATTGTTGTTGCTATAATGTAAGACAATAATTCTGAATTCTGTTCTAATATAAGCATCTGTGAGAATAGCGTTGAAAGCTTAAATCAGTTTCAACTTGTCAAGAACATGTCCGGTTATATATGAAAAGAATGACATATGAAATTATATATTTGCTTTAATAAAACCAAATCCTTTAAGGGAACTGTCTCATTTTGACATGGTTTTGTTTTCTGGACAATGGATTGACCTGACGCATAAATCAGCATCTAATGTAAATGAGTAATAGACTGTTGAAATACAACAAACATAACATAGCCTATCATTAAGTCTCAGAGAGCTTTGATACAGACCTCATCTTTCTTTTTCTTGGCCATAATTAATGCAAATATCAAGATTAATGGAGGAAAGATTCACTATTTCAGTTTTAATTTTATATACACATGAATCTTATTAAATTCAAGTGTCTACTTTGACCATTCAAATAAGTTTAAGAAGATAAAATGTGAAAATAGTGGTGAAATAATAAGTTTTAATAATACAGTAAAAACACACTTATTCTGACCTGTACTTTTAAAAATATAGAAAAGCCTACGTTTGAAATGATTTTCCCGTTTCTTGCTGACAAATAGGTAAAATGGTTTGGAAAAAAATGACTTTAAAATAAGCCTGACAAGATTTTTTTTCTTTTTTTTTGTTACACTATATAATTAAAGTTTTTTTTCTCTGAGAAAAGGAAAGATTAAACAGGCCACATTCTTATGCTTCATAGCAAAGACTATTTACTATTTTAGCTAAAATGTTTTTTGTTATACATCAACAAGATGGATTGATAAGTATGGGTGTGAATTTTCGCAGCAAATGAAGTGTTGTTTCCTGTTAACAGACATGGCTACAGCACAGTCAGTGTTCACAGTGGCTGTGAGCATTCTGCTCATCTCAGAGCTCATCCTGGCTGAGAAAGACTACTACGAGATCCTGGGGGTTCCCAAAGATGCATCTGACCGGCAGATCAAAAAAGCCTTTCACAAACTAGCCATGCGCTTCCACCCAGACAAAAACAAAAGCCCTGACGCAGAAGCAAAGTTCAGAGAGATTGCTGAAGGTGAGTCACCATCACATACCTGTTCAAAACCACACCTGTGTGTTCATCACTTATTAAATCTTCGCATCTGTCATTCCCAGCCTACGAAACATTATCAGATGACAACCGGCGGAAGGAATATGATCAGACGAGAAGCCGTCCGTTCTCCGGAGGAGGCTCTGAGCACTTCCATCAACACTTTAACTTCAACTTTGAAGATGCATTCAGACACAGTCCTCACTCTCACAACCAAAGACATTTCCAGAGCCACTTTAAGGCCCATGAGGAAGCACGCAGCAGGCACAGGAGGCACTTCCAGAGCTCTTTCGGTGGAGACATGTTTGATGATGTGTTCCAAGACATGGAGAGGATGTTTTCTTTTAATGGACAACAGACTCGGACCCAAGGCTCCAGCAGGCAGCACTGCAGGACTGTCACACAGAGAAGAGGAAACATGGTTACTACATACACTGAATGCTCCTGAGCTCATGTGGAAACTTCTTCCTGTTGTCTTGACTGAAACCTGATGTTTTTTTTGTGTGTGTGTTTTGGATTAGTTCTGATGATCTATTATCAAATCGCACATTAATGGGAGAAACATCCTGAATCGGACTTCATGGGTACTTCTCCATCCACAAACATATTTATAATGAACATAAAGGCCATAAGAGAAGTTTTGATTAACTGAGCCATGAATTTTCAATTATTTCAAAAATGTCGTTAATAAATTAGTTAATAAATATACATTTAAATGCATGTTTAAAAACATCAAATACATATTTATCAAGTTTACTTGTGCATATACATAGATACTGTATCTTTACATTGTAATAAAATAATGCAATGTTATAAAACATCAAACCCTGGACCATAAAACCAGTCATAAGCAGTGTTGGGGGTATAGCATTACAAGTAACACGAGTTATGTAATACTATTACTTTTCTAAGTAATGAGTAAAGTAACGCGTTACTTAAAAAAAATTATTATATAATATGAATTAATTAGCTTTTAAAAATTATAAACTGCTGAATGAAAATGAAGTGCTGAGTTAAAAATAATCACACACTCAATGAGAGAATGAGTTTATTATTTTGAAACCATTGAAAAAGAAATTGACTCAATGGACAGTCATTTTTCTGTAACTAATACGACAAAAATCGCCTCTATTTAACAGAAAAAGTAAAAAAAAATCTGCAAGTTATGAAACTCAAAAGTAATGTAACATTACAGATTGTAAAATGTAACCAAGTAAAGCAAATACAGTAGTTGCTTTTTCAGGGGACTACCTCAATAATATTATGCATTACTTTCAAAAGTAACTTTCCCCAACACTGGTCGTAAGTGTCAATATTTCTGGTCGTAAGTGTCAATATACACCTTCCAGAGGCTGAATAAATAAGCTTTTCACTAATAGTGGTTGTTAGGATGGGACCAAGATTTGTCCAAGATAAAAGTATTTGAAAATGTGGAATCTGAAGTAAAAAAAAATCTAAATATCACCCAAATCGTCTTTAAAATTGACATACAGTCCTTAAGTAATGCATATTAGCAATTGATCATTAAGGTTGATATATTTACAATTAAAATGTCTACATGGAAACTAATCTTAATATTAGAAGGATTTTTGACATAAAAGAAAAATCCATATTTTGTCCAGACAAATACCCATGCGACATGGATCGGTTTTGTGTTCCAGGGTCATGTTTATTAATAATAATAATAATAATAATAATAATAATAATAGTTATTATTATATTTGTATATAATACTAAATAATATCATATAAATAGTATATTAACACACACACACACACACACACACACATATATATATATATATATAGGATATAATTGAATATAGAAAAAAAATGTCTTTCCCCCTTAAGTGACTATATTTAGGCATTTCAACATTTAAACTAATATGATCATTTCTTCTTTGCGCAAATTTCACGTTTATTTGAAGTATATATTTTCAAATGCCAAACTATATTACTTTAAAATCCATTTATTAGTAACCACCTAATACTATATGTGTATGCCTGTACTTCCCCAAGCCTTTAATATGGGAGGCTGAAATAGCACTTTAATGTGATCATGATCAACAATAATAAAGCTATTTTTCCACTTATTATGAAGACACAAACAATCATAAAGTGTCGCTTCATGGCTCAGTTGCAATTTTCACCTTGTTTTGCTTTAATTCAGACAATTGAGTCACACACAATACGTTTTGTGGTTGAAGGTGTGTTCACGTATGTTTTTGCTTGATGTTGCACAATGTCAGAACTGACTTGATTGATTGCTTTATGTTTACTGTCATGTCCTTTGCAACCATGTTACTCGCATTTGTATATCTTTCATCTCTGATCGCATTTCCCTTCGCTAACGTGACTCCAGAGCAAGTGGCTGCTCTTTTGACAGGGGAAAACCCCTAAACTGTATGTGCAATAATTATTAAAATCCTCTCGCTGTTGTGGGATCCTGTCAGCTAGCTGTAGGGCTTTCCTGAAAGAAAGAGAAAGGAAAAATATACGATCAAATATAAACGGTTATTATTGTTTTCCAGCTCAGGTATCATGTTTAATGTCCATGTAAATGGGATGGTTCTGCCCTATTACTTCTGTACCTGGGGCACTTGTACCAAAAGCAGTGTATAATCATCTAATTACAATAACAAATATAATGCACACTCCCAGTAGTTCTGAAAATGTGGATATATTTATTTGACCATCCATAAGCAAACTCTTGAATCTGGATACTTTTATGTCTGTGCCAATAAACAAATACCTCATCTTGAAGCTTTGTGAACAGTCCTGCAATAGTAATTACCACATAATGCTTATATTTTTGGAAAGTGGCTGATGTTCTCGCCTGTTTTGCTTTCATCAAATCTCCATTTTGTCAATAATTGCATTATAAAGTTTATACAAGCATGTGCATGCCTAGATAAGCATGAAAGAGAACTGTGGATCCATTAAATAATTACATTGATATGCAAATAAAGGACTGTTGATGCTGAAAGCCGCGGCCAAGAGCTTTAGTTAAAACACTTACGTTTTGCATGCTTTTCTAAATTACTGTACACTCACTGGCCACTTTATTAGGCACATTATTTACTTCACCATAAGGCAGCAGTGGATGATTTATGAATGGTAGGTCATGTGATAATGAAAACATGGCAGACGTTGTGCATTTCGCTGCGTTCATACTTTAAAACATAATAGTAAGTCTAAATTCAAATGTAGCATGTACTCAGTATGTGATTTTGGATGTATGGATTCTTTCTACATTTTACACAACAATATACAGGATTTTTGAAGGTTTCACAAAGTAAAATTTAAGACTTTTTCATTTGTATTGAGGGCTAAATGCTAAGTATTTTTTTTAATGGCAAAAAAAAATTTTTACATAAAAAATAAATAAATTTACTTGCCCCATCAAAAAACTAATTCTAATGATCTATTTCTTAGTCACATATTTTAAATAACGTGTCAAAACAAGCAGACCCTAGTTGAATACAAAAATATTTTTCAACATAAAAAAAAAAACTTTTTAAAAACTAAATGTATGGACAACATGCATGGTTATAAATATAGTTTTGCTAAAAGTTTGCTGAGATGTATTGTTGGCAGCTGATTGGATGTGTGTTGTACTGATTGGGTAGCTTTACATAAACAAGGGAAAATTAAGATCCGTTTAAAATGATTTAAGACCTACAAAACAATATTTCAGGCCTAACATTACGTTTTTGAAATTTTAAGACATTTAAGGACCTTTTAAGAGCCTGCAGATACCCTGATGTAGGAAACGTACAGTTTGTGCAGCATCACTAAGTAGTAATGGGATATCAGGAAGTATTTGAAAGGGCAAGACAAATGACATTCATCCACTCATTTGCAAAACAAGCGAAAGACGTTTGAAATCAACAAAATGAAAAGAAAAAAAATTTGGGATAAAAACATAAAGATTTAAATCATTCACATGAAGCCTTAAAGCATAGAACGTTAGTTTTAATATAAAATACTGTAGATGCACTGATTTTTCTTTCTTACATACAGTCTTTTACTTTAGTCATGTCTGAAGCCTGAATAAGACAACAATTGAATAATGCAACAATTTCAATGTACTTTTGAAGGGAAAATTATTAATATATTAATTGGAAACTATTATTTATATTCTATATTGGAAACTATATATATATATATATTCCAAATTATATTCAACAGGGAAATTCTTATAGCAAATCGTATTATTCTTTGTTCTTCAGAACAAAAGAGTGTTATTCAATGACATGCCACCTAATTAACCCAGCTTGCCTAGTTAAGGCCTAGTTAAGTCTTTAAATTGCACTAAATACTGTGGTATGTTACATTAGTTATTAGAATTATTAGAATTAGAATTATATTAGTTATTAGAAATTACTTATTACTATTATTTTTTTTTAAATATATACATACATACACACACACACATATATATATATATATATATATATATATATATATATATATATATATATATATATATATATATATATATATATAAACCAGAAGCTTTTAACAGCGGTATTCTATTGTCACCTAGAATGGCTAAGCTCTGCTAGTGGTTAACTTCAGCAGGCAGCTTGAGTGACCTGTTTACCTGTGCCCGCAACTTTGGGAACTTATTTTGATTAAGTGCCAGTAAATAAAGAAGTTGAATAGGAGCTATGCTGTGGTTATGCCCTTCCCTCATTGGGTTTGGTATTAATGGCCCTTTTGAATAGACGGCTTGAAGAGAAGGGGAAGGAAAGCAGCTCTTTGTTTGAAAAGATAAAGCCCTCGCTACTGCTGCACTACAAAATGTAAATACTTTGGCAGGCGTGACACACGAACATAAATTCATAAACCAGTAAAAAAAATAACTCAAACATTTGGAAAGATGCAGACGGATTCAAAAGGCTTATTTTAAGGGAATCATTCTTTCAGTCACTGTTTTTATTTTGCATTGTTAAATGCTCAGGTATTATCGTTCACTAATTTAAAATGTCAGATGGTGACTTGTTAAAGCTCTTTACCGCTTGACAGGTTTTATGTAAATGTGCTGACGATTAAAGTGAAAATGTTTAGACCTTGTGATGTAGAGCGGAGGAAAGCTCCTCAAACACTTCAAGCAGAGTTTCCCCACATTTTATCATCCGCAACAGACAGGAAAAACAATTCCACAGTTCGCCACACAAGTGCACAAAACAGTTACAAACCTGTCCATAAAAAAAGAGAGATGAAAACCAGTGTGCCCAGTGTAAATAAAACATGCTTGTGATATACTGCATATTTTATGTTATTCACAGTTTTTTTTTTACACAAAAGCAGCATTTTAATATATATATTGTTAAATTATTTGTTTCAAATAACAGAAGTTTATCTTAAAAAAAATCTACAGTACTTCTTAAGGAATGAAATATCTCACAAAAAGCTTCAACAAAAAAAATGAAATGATAATTATAAGAAGAGTTATTAAAACTTAAGCAACATATATTCTTAAGGTCAGTGGTAAGTAGCGATGCACAATATTGGAAGACACTGGCCTTGCAATATTTAGTTTTTCTGTGATATGAATATAGTTTTTAGCTTAATATTTGGAAATATTTCATAGTTTTATTTTGGTTAGGCTGATTTTGCAGGGGGGAGTGCATCTGGACACAAAATTGTCCAAAAATATGCAAAATACAATACACAAATTAAATCACAGATAAAAAAAAGAAAAGAAAGAAACAAACAGCACTTTTATAGTTTTCTAAGGAGTCTAACAGTATTGATGTACAGAAAGTCAGTAATTAAATGTAAAATAACATGTTCTAAACTGTCGTTCCTGGTTAATTGTAATCCCAATTTTGTATGGTTGATTCTGCAATGGGACTATTGCAGATTCGTACATTGCAATATCAATGCTAAAACCATATATTGTGTAGGCCCTAATGTAACACTGATATTTGAAATTGTAATATTACTTTACATTACTTATTTTACATTACTATACACTCTTTTATTCTGTATTTTTGATCAAATTAATGTTATTTGGCTTAAATCTGTGTTTACTGAGTTTGTTGGTTACATTTATGTTTGTCTTACAAATGAGGACAAATGAACAAAACAACAACATAAAAGCAACAATTTGTCTGAGTGAGAGATCTTGGGAAGTAGAAAAAAATTCAGCAAAAAAAAGATTTGTGTGTGTCTACATCAAAATATGCAAAAAAAAGTATTAATTAAACTAATGTATATCATTCATTTATTCATTTTCTTTTCAGCTTAGTCCCTTTATTAATCTGTGGTCGCCACAGCAGAATGAACCGTCAACTTATCCAGCATATGTTTTATGCAGCGGATGCCCTTCCAGCTGCAACCCACCACTGGGAAACATCCATATACGCTCATTCACACACATACACTATGGTCAATTTTAGCCTACCCAATTCACCTGTACCACATGTCTTTGGACTTGTGGGGGAAACCGGAGCACTCGGAGGAAACCCACGCAAACACAGGAAGAACATGCAAACACCACACAGAAATGCCAAATGACCCAGCCAAGGCTCGAACCAGTTACCTTTTTGCAGTAAGGCAAGTAAGTTTTGCAGTAAGTCAAAAGCCTCGTTTATTATTTTCCTCAATTTCTGTTTAACGGAGAGATTTTTTTCAACACATTTCTAAACATATTTTAATATAAGTTTTAATAACTTATTTATAATAACTGATTTATTTTATTTTTGCCATGATGACAGTAAATAATATTTGACTAGATATTTTTTAAGACACTTCTATACAGCTTAAAGTGACATTTAAAAGCTTAACTAGGTTAATAAGGTGAACTAGGCAGGTTAGGGTAATTAGGCAAGTTATTGTATAATGATGGTTCAGTCTGTAGACTATCGGAAAAAACTATATAGCTTAAAGGGGCTAATAATTTTGACCTTAAAATAATGTTGAACAAATTTAAAACTGCTTTTATTCTAGCCAAAATAAATAAATAAATAAATAACACTTTTGCCAGAAGAAAAATATTATTGGACATACTGGGAAAATTTCCTTACTCTGTTAAACATCATTTGGGAAATATTAAAAAAATAAAAATAAATAAATGGGAGGCTAAAAATTCTGACTTTAACTATATATGTAAATAATTTAAGAAATAGTTTAACATTTTACATTTATGTAAATATAATAAATGTAGATATAAATATTGTTATATGATTTTATTTTCAAATTACTTTAAAAAAATGTCAATATATGGGTGAAATGATGTGATTCAGCATCGCAGATATATTTATGTAAAAATAACGTGACATGCTTATTCTGTAATTATATATATATATATATATATATATATATATATATATATATATATATATATATATATATATATATATATATATATACATACAGTATATCATCTTATTGTTATTTTTGTTGTGTGCCAATATGCCAAAATTATAAATCACAAATTTGATATTCTGCCATTTCACTCAGTTCCTTTTGTAAATCATTGTAAAAAAAAAAAAAAGGAAAAAAAGAAAAGATGCACATTATTTTATGCATATAAATCTGCAACTATTCAAGAAACCTAACCCGCATAACATTAGTTCCAGCCGATTTACAATATAACTGATTAGGCATTGTCATTAAGTTGTTTACACAGTTCTGGGTTGTAAATTTCTAGCCGGCATGCAGCGCACATTTATAATATTGATTATGCACAAACACAGCGATAATCACAGTGGAGTGAAAAGCTGAGGGTCTCATAAACATCTTTTATCAGCAGCCACTTTACTTTCATTCTCTGAAAGGGGAACTTCAGGAGCCAGTCAGTTGATATTTAAAACTTGTGTCATGAGACTGCAAAATGAATGAACTGCTGGTTTATCAGCTTGGAACAATAGAAACGAAGTGCATTGAAATGGCACTAAATCTGAACATTTGTTCTCCTGATACACCAAAAGCATGTCCTTTCCATGTTGTTCTCTGTCTTTTTAGTTGACAATCGCGCTAATATGAATGCCAAATGAATAGAAGAAGGAACTGTTTATTGTGCGTAGGATTGTTGTGAAAATAATGTCTTTTTTGTTTTTTTTCCTGCAAAGGCTTTGGAATCTATTTTTTCGATCAAGACTAAGTAGGATATGTAGGGAAAGAAAAAAAAGAAGAAAAAAAACAAAGTTGGAGAAAATGTTTCTGGATAGATACAGCAGGTCTAAAGATAAACAAGAGAAGTAAAAAAAAACTAAAAAAAAGCACAAATACGTGCGTTATGCGAGTTTTTGGTGTGTGATGAAATGTACATGGTGTGTTGGTAAGAAATGTACATCTCTAAATCGTTTATATGTTTTGAGTTAGGAAAAGACAGATTAAGGAGAGGAATGAAAATTATATAAGAAATAACAACAATAAAATGGGAGTAAACAATCGAGAGTTGAAGTTAATTCAATTCATTTATACATAGATATACTTTAAAAAATGAGACAGAAGTCAATAAAAGTAAAAAAAATAAATAAATAACATTAAATTAAAAAGGCAGAAAATAAGACAGAAGTCTAATACAAAACAGAACAAAAATGTAAAAACAAAACAAATAAATAAATAAATAAAATAAAATTGTAAAAATACAAAACAAAACAAATAAATAAAAATATAGATTTAAAAAAATGTAAAAACAAAACAAATTAGAAAGGGCAAAAAATAAGACAAAAGTCTTAAGGGGGTCACACACCAGAAGCGCCGCTCGACGACGCGCAGCGTCATGCACTACAAAATTCTAAACAGGTTTCTATGAGGGTACACACACCAGCGCCGCAAGTCGGCGGCTGTTGGCAGTGCCCAGCCACGGCTCAGGACACTGTTCATATTTCTGCCACACCATAGAGCACCGTCTGAATAGTTTCATTTAAAATAGCATGTGAATGTGCGCATTTGGTGTGTGATACCTTCAACTGTCATGTGCGCGCCTTGTTGCAGCAGCGTGCAGAGCGTCCGGTGTGTGATGCCCTTGACACAAAACAGAACAAAAAAATGTTAAAACATTAAAAAAAAACAAAGCAAATTAACTTAAAAAAATTGTAAAAACACAAAACAAAACAAATAAATAAATAATTTTTAAAAAATTCTAAAAACACAAACCAAACAAAACATGTTAAAACATAAAAAACAAAGCAAATCAATAAAAAATAAATAAATAAATAATAATAATAATAATTTAAAAAATTGCAAAAACACAAAACAAATAAATAAATAAATAAATTGCAAAAACTAAACAAAACAAATAAATAAATAAAAAATAAACTGTAAAAACACACAACAAAACAAACAAAAACAAAAAAATTATAATAAAAAATTTAAAAATATATAACTTTATAAAGCAAATAAATAAAAAATTTAAACCGTAAAAAACACAAAACAAACAAAACAAATAAATATGTATTTTTGAATTATAAAAACAAATCAATTAAATAAATATTTTATTGTAATTATTCTAAAAAACACAAAACAAAACAAACAAAACAAAAAAATGATTAAAAAAATTAAATGTAAAAACATAAAACAAAACAAAATGAAAAAAAAAATATATATATTGTAAAAAACAAAAACAAACAAAAAAAATCCACAAATGCTTTTTTCACATGCACAGAATCTGATAAAAAAAATAATAAAATCGCCATTTAGATTTTATAGATTTGCATGAAAGTCCATATAAACATGTTACACCTCAGATAAGATTTCTAAGCAATCCCGTTTTTTAATACCCTCGTGTGATTATTTGTTATTGTCTGATGCATCTCCTTTTTTTTTTTTTTTTACAGGACCAATAAACTAAAGTGCCGTTGAAAGCTTCTAAGCAGAAATGCAAATGTTTTCACAAAGGAGAGGGAATCCAAAAATAAACTAGTGGTTAGTCCCTCGTTCTTTTTTTCTTTCCTTCTCGCTCTATCTATTTTTTCATGGATGGAGATATGGAGATTACAGGAATGAGAGGCTATGAGCTTAACCTGGTCTTCATTTCCAAAAAGAGAAGTAAAGTATCATTGACTGCTCCATGTTATGTTGACGTGACACATTTAAATGGACTCAAGTATAAAACTGGCCGCATTGCCATGTTGGCCAGTAAAACAGTAGTGCTTCTACAATATATCTTGTCCATTATAATCACTGCATGAGGACATTTCCAGTTGAACACAGTTGAGCTCTACATAGATGAAGTGTTAGATTTGTCAAGGCCAGAATGGTGAGTTCTTTTGACTCAAGCATCTTCTAGTAAGGTTGAAATTGTATTTATTTGCTTCATTATTTTAAACCTATTATTTAAAATTAAACTTAAACTCTAATTATATATTATATTATGTTCTATTATATTATATTATATTATATTATATTATATTATATTATATTATATTATATTATATTATATTATGTAATTCTGAAATGATCATATTTGTATATTTTTTTCTCTCACAGGGGTCTCTTGAAAATGATATCAATCAAGATTTTCAGGATGCCATTGATGTTATTCAGCGTCATTCTCAGATACGGCACTATGACACAGGTAGATTTAATAAAATATGATGTTTTTACACATGGTTTTACACTTCTATTATCACTTGAAGTGTTAAGTATGTTTTTTTTTTTTTTTGGAAAATGACATTAATAAAACCTCTGCTTTTCAGTAACATGAAATTATAACCATCATTTATTATTATTAATAGTAATTATTATTACTAATACTACTGTTACTATTTGTATAGTTATTATTACTATTACTATTATTAATACTACTAAAGCTACTACCACAACAATGTTATTAGTATTATTGTGATTATAATTAGTATGACTATATTTAATGAATATATTTAATGTTTTATTATTACATTTATAAATACTACTACTGGTATTTTAAATGTTGTTAATTAAAAGTGTATTGATATAATATCATTATCATTCCTATTATTTTATCTATTGCTTTATATATTATTTTATATTAGTGCTTAGATATTTAAATTCATATATCATTGCTATAATTTCTCTCTCTCTCTCTCTCTCTCCTCTCTCTCTCTCTCTCTATATATATATATATATATATGTATGTATGTATGTATGTATGTATGTATATATATATATATATATATATATATATATATATAATATATGGATTCATGTGTGTATTGAATCTACAATGTACACACACACACGTATATGATGTCAATATTTTTTGTCTAATATTTCAGATTTTACATGAGATTTATCACAGCATTTGTACAGAATTATTTAATAGATTTGACTGTTAGTATCAAAATTGTTTACATTTTTATATCATCATACTTACAATTACTACACTCTCAAAATGCTGGGTTGTTTTCATTGGATCAAAAACAGACATACCTCATTTTGGATTAAAAAAAAGATTTAAATCATTTAAATTTTATCTCCCCCCAAAAACCCAACATTTAGTTTGATCCAACGCTGCAATTATTCATGTGTACTGTTATCGTTTTACTATTGCATACCTATTGTTAACATTTTCTTTTAGAAAATAAATACTATGAGAATCTGGAAAGTCAGCAGTCATCTGTGAGACATGCCATCTCATACTATCAGTTCACACCTCATTTCGAGCCTCCAGGATCCACATATGACTGGAATGAATCCTCAGTGAGTTTACAACTCATTCAGCTGTTAGTTGTGATGCTTTTAATCTTGTATTTTTTGTAACTGGAAACCTGTCTGTTTGTCTGTGTGTGTCTGCAGTCGTGGCCTCATGTTATCCCGGACGTGTCTCTTGGGTCTTTGTGTTCTACTGAGACTTCATCGTTTTACGCTAATTTACCACAGCGGCACGGGAAAGGTGACATATTATTACATGTTTTTAGTCTGTACTTTGTTTTTGATTCATTTTGTGCTTGAATAACAGTTTTGATTTTTCACAATTTGAAAATAATCGAAGCCTCATAATGCATTCAGGTCTGTTTTAACCTGAAGGAAACAACAACTACAATAACAAAGTTTTCAAGGCAGGCTATAAATCCTTACAAATGTCAAGACTCCAAATATACAAATAGTTATTATTATTCTGAAATGTAAATTTATTTTAAGTAGATTTAATTTATTTTAAGTAGATCTAACGGTAACATTTTACAATAAGGTTGTATTAGTTAATGTTAGTTAATGCATTTAATAACGTCATAAACGAACATTGAACATTATATTTATCGCAGTATTTGTTCATGTTAGTTAAAATTTGTTGTTGGTTCATGTTAGATGGTGCAATAACTAATGTAAACAAGCCTGAATTTGGGTTTTAATAATGCATTAATAAATGCTGAACTGATTAAGAAATGCTGTACAAGTATTGTTCATAATGATTATCATTCAATCAATTTATTTAATTTTCTGCTTATTCCCTTTATTAATCTGGGGTCACCACAGCGGAATGAACCGCCAACTTATCCAGCATATGTTTTACACAGCAGATGCCCTTCCAGCCGCAACCTACCACTGGGAAATCATAATTATTTTATGTTGCTAAATACATTAACTAATGAAACCTTATTGCAACGTGTGACCAATATAACCATCAAAACAGCTTGCGTCTGGTTCCTTTTGAACAAATTATTAAAGCATGATAAATGTAAATGGATTTCATTCACATATTTGTTCAACATTATAAAATAAATACTTCATATTAGCGTATTGGAATGATTTCTGAAGGACTGTGTGAGACTAATGGCTGCTTAAAATCCAGCTATTACAAAAATAAATGACCATTTTAAAATCTTGTTATTATGCAAAATTAAATAAAATATTATTATGCACATTAAATGTTTTATTTAATAACTTTCCAGTGTAAAATATTACTTTTCATGTCTTTTTTTTATTTTTTATTAATATGTAGGTTTCATACAGTAAATGCAAACTGCTGCTGAGCAATCATGAATAACACATTAGAAATTTAAATCAGTTTCACTTCACAAAATGGAGTAAATATCTTTAATTTTCAGACATGGCCAAAATTGTTGTTGTTAGCCCTCCAGTGAAGGAAGCAAATCCCACAGTCATCACATAAATAACTTATGGTTAATAAAATAAGTACTGAATAATTGAAAAAAATACTGATATTAAATGATTGAACATGATAATACTCTCGAATTGTGGTTCAGAAGAAGCATAAACTAGGCATACTAACTAATCAAACTGGCCTGAACTAAATTGAAGTGTACCAACAATTTTGCCCATATCTGTGTTTATAAATATATTAAATCAGAGTGTTTACAGCTTTTCAATGAATTTATAATATGATTACAAACAAATTAAGATGCTAAAAACATGCTTTTCCACATGCCATCATTAATAATTCATTCTGTAGAAAGTACTGATATATTAGGCCTTAGTTACAAAACTTAAACCTTAAAATCCATTGAATGACACATTATCAAGCCAATTTTATATTATATATAACTTTACATGTTAATTTTATTAATTAAGTTATTTAATTAGTTTATATTTTGACTTCCTAGCAACACCTTGCAACCTATGGTTGTAATATAACCTCAGAATAAAAATAAAAAACATACAGATTTTAATTGCATTATGAGAGTTAAACATAAAAAAACATAAAACTACTCATGTGTGTCGATGAATCCAACTGTACAGCACTTCCACGCTTCATAACTCTGAACAAAGCTGAGTTCTTCATTACACAGAAGTACTAAAAGCATTGTCCATTTCTCTTCCTCATCAGGCCGCAAGAAACTACGTTTATATGAGTATCTGCACGAAGCTCTTCACGATGACAACATGGGCGACTCCATCCAGTGGACGGACCGAGGCAGCGGAGTCTTTCATTTCATTTCCAAAAACAAAGAGAAACTGGCCGAATGCTGGGGTCAGCGCAAAGGCAACCGCAAAACCATGACCTACCAGAAAATGGCCCGCGCTCTTCGCAACTACAGCCGCACGGGAGAAATCGTGAAGGTGCGCCGCAAACTCACGTATCAGTTTAACCCAGCGATACTGCAGCGCTTGAGCTCACTGTCAGGCTACAGTTCGGGCCCTTCGTCCAGAGAAATACCGCTCCATCAGCCTGGCTCTGCGGAGCATGTGTACTACAGTTCTCCTCTACAGGACTGCCATTACTGGTATGGTCAATACTCATATCAGACCGAGTATGATCTCGCTACTGTACTCACAATGGATCCTAAAACTGCAGTTTCAGCTCAATGATAGTCAGGAGTACAATCTCTGTCCTTTAAAAGATTGGAGATGCACTGCAATCAATAATGACGTAGTAAACGTGAAGAAAAAAGATGTTTTTGCTACTGTGTATTAAGAGTTCATGCATGTAAATGGTACTGTTTGGAGTCATCAAGGATGCATTAAATTGATCAAAAGTTATTGTAAAGACTTATTGATTTAATGATAGCTTAATGATAATGACTTTTTTAATGATTTCTAACATACAAATCTAATTTGTTTGTTTGCTTGTTTAGACTTAATTAATCCCAAAGGGAAATTCACGTCACAGCAGAGTTCTCCATACTATAAAATAAATTACTTGTATAAAGAGGCAATTATATTAATAAAATTCAATTCCTACTGCACATCTTTGTTTCAAACAACGAGTAGATACTAGTCCATTAGTCCATATCTACAGTACTAATGCTATTAGAATTCTGCATAATTCATCTAGTATGATTTACTATACAATCTGATCACTGTTGGTAAAAATGACTTCCAGTCAACTTTTGTTTATAATTTATTTTAAAAAATTAACAAGTACAAGGATATGTACAAAATATTATATTTAGATATGCAAATTTAAATAGATAACTTTCAATTCATAAAAAGTAACAACAGATGGTTTAACATGATTTCCATTAAAATATTTATACACTTCTTAATATAATATGAAGAAATATTTTAAATCAAAGTTTACAATTATTTCTAAAGGACCATTTGAATATTAATTGACATTATCATTGTTTTTCGATATAAAACTAAAACGACTAAAATCAAATAAATGAAACAAACCCAAACAAACAAATAGATAAGCTAATTTAATAAATAAATAAATATACAAACAAAAACAAACACACCTTACTGACAACAAACTTTTGAACAACAATGTGTAAACATTATCTGGAAACTGAAAACAGATTAATGTTTGTTTTATGCACAAAATATTGATCCAAATAACATTTATTTTTACAAAACAGCAAAAAAAAATATATATATATATTTTTACGCATAACTTTTGACAAAAGGTTTCAAGTTGTTAAAAGTTTTTAACTTCACACCTTTGTAGATTTCAAAAGTCTTTAAAAATCACCATGTTTAACGGCAACTGCAAAAATGATCCAGCTTCTTCTATTCAATAAAATCATATTCATGCTCTAATCTGCTGTTTGTGTCTAGCCAGCCTTCTACTTCTTTTTCAACTTGTTTACATAGTATCATACATGTATCGCTCAAATAAACTTCTCTATCTTGAACAATCCCTTTTCATTTGTTTATGAAACTCTCGACTGTAATCGGTGTGCGCTGTATAAACATTTACGCTGATTTCTTTGCAAATACACTGGGCCGAGCTCATCTCATTTCACAGAGATACGATTGTTTGTGACTGCTTTGTGTGTGTTGTATTACAAACCGATCTCAAATCACCTTCCTCTTTGTAAGATAGCAATGAAACACTAATGCGGTGCGGCTGTATAATAATTTCCATACTGGACAATAAACACAGGTCTCTTACAGACTTTATGATTGAAGTTTTGCGAGCATGTTTTCTTGATTTTAGAGCTCTAGATTAATTTAACAGGAATGAATGTGCGTGGGTTTAGTTCTGTCTGTGTGTCATTGTTAACTGGTGGTGGCTGTTATCTCTAAAAGTGGAGAGGATGTGGTTACTGGTTCCATAAAGGTGGAGGTTAGAGATGTGTGTTCAAGATCATGATGTGTGTATGTGTGTGTGAGAATGGTTGGGCCCACAGAAGCTGTGGTTTTGGGTAAAAAAAAAAAAAAAAGTCTGGTTATTTATGTATGGTCGTAGATCACTGTAGAAAGGTCCGTTCACTCACTTATAAAATGAGTCTGAAACATTTGAGCAAGCACAGTTTACTTTGTAAAGCACATGGCACATAAACAGTAATAGTTTAGCCTTAACTTATTGGTTATTGGTTATTCATTAACAGATTGACACTTGTAACAGGAAAAGCTACAGTGAGGATCACATCTGTAACACTAATATGGTAAGAATCAATGTTTTGTTGTTTTATGTTGCCGTTTTTTATGGTGTCCTTGTTGTGTAGTTGCACATTTAGATAACAAGAATTGGTCATTCACAACATACTTGCTATATGCTTTAGTGTTGTTTAGAGCATGTAAAAAGTGTAAATATATACAGTGATTAGTCGACTTTACTTTAAAAATTAAGTGAGCAAATCCATTTCCTTAAAGGTGTTAAGTAAATGCAGCTAAGCATAATATTAAAAAGTAACAAATCACTTTAACAGTGTAATTATGCATAAGGTCAAAGGTGTCCATATCACATTACATTTACAAAAGTGATGTATTATACAAGTGCAAGTAAACTGTTTCCATCACTTTTGTGAAATTAAAATATCAAAATATGGATGAAATAATGTTCCGGTACCTTTTAGTATAACTGATATATTCATGTAATAAATAAACCAACATACTTATTCCGACCAGTCCTTAAAAAAATAAGTGATTAAACTAAATTTTATCACACTTTTAATGACTAAAAACTCTTTAACAACAAAAGATTTAAAATGACAATTTCTGAATATTTTGCTGCACTGTGATCCTTAAATGGAATATTTTAACATGCATTAAAAATATATAGATTTTTTGTTGCTTGCTTAAAGTACTTATTTAAAATGAGCTGCAACAACACAACTCTTGAGTTTTTGGGGAACAACTTAATTGTTTTTGTGCAATCCACTTAAATTAGCAAATGTACTTAATATTTTAATAAATAAAAAAAAAACGTAACTAAATCGATTTGTGTTGGGACAACATAAAGACATTGTGTGAAACCCAGCATTTTTTTACAGTGTCACCAAAGGATTATTTTTCTAAATGTTGCATTTTCAAATTTATTTTCTGGTATATCAGCTATTGTGTCATTGCAAGCCAAATACTTGGTAGATCATTATTTTGTGTGAGATCAAAATATATATTTCTTCTTACCAGAACAGTCCGCAGGATTATCAGACGGATTTGGAGGTGATTCTGGAATTTCTAGAGGAGCACTACAGGCAGGAATCTCACAGAAAAGCTCTATGGGACAGTAAGAAAACAGCTTAAAGGAACAGCTCAACCAAAAACGAAAAATCTGTCATTATTGACACACCAATGCATGTCAACAAATGCAGACCATTTGTCACCAGTGAACAATTTGCATGTCAAATATTTTATTATTTAATATTAAATTTAATATAAGCATGCTTAAAATCTACTACAAAATCTACTTGATATACTACACTGTAAAAAATGATTTATTGGATTTACAATTTTTTTAAGGTAAGTGGTTGTAGTATATGGGCTGAATTTAAAGAAATTAAATTTAGAATTGTTCAACTTGGGCGACGCAGTGATGCAGTAGGTAGTGCTGTCATGTCACAGCAAGACGGTCGCTGGTTCCAGTCTCGGCAGGGTCAGTTGGCGTTTCTGTGTGGAGTTTGCATGTTCTCCCTGCGTTCACGTGGGTTTCCTCTCGGTGCTCCAGTTTTCCCCACAGTCCAAAGACATGCGGTACAGGTAATTTGTGTAGGCTAAATTGTCAGTAGGGAATGAGTGTGGATGGATGTTTCCCAGAGATTGGTTGCAGCTGGAAGGGCATCCGCTGCGAAAAACATGTGCTGGATAATTTGGCGGTTCATTCCACTGTGGCGACCCCGGATTAATAAAGAGACTAAGCTGAAGAAAACATTAATGAATGAAATGTTCAACTTAATTTGTTTGTTTAAATTCAGCCCATATAAATTGTTTGCAACAACTTACCCTAAATTTGTTTTGCAAATCCAATGAATATTTTTTTCAGTGTACCATTGTTTGTTACAAATGAATAATTACAAATTAATAACATTCAAGATTAATTAATAACATGCAAGTCACAATAATAAATCATCACAAACAAATACAAAGATTTTCTTAGAAACAAAACCACAGTACAGTAATTTGTTTTATCATTGTTCTTTTTATACTGAACTAATTTAATTGAACATTGATTTAAACAAATTGTTTTATTTTAATACCAATTAACATGCACCTGTTGCTCTGAAAACATTGCAGTGAAAAAGGTGTGGAAAGAACCTTTACTCAGAAATTGCTAAAGTTTTACACACAATGGAAAAGAACACCGACTTTAGGGGTTAGGATGCCTGCCTGTTATTACCACTAACTCTTTTTCTAACACACCTGCAGTGACGGATCTCTCTGTCACATCATCCAGTGGCTCTGTGGACACTTCTGCAGAGAAACGGCCAGATGAGGAGAATTTCATCAAAGTTTCAGGACAGGAAACTCAGGTGAAACATTCATGTTAACACTTTGTGTCATTCCTTTTAAGAAATAATGGTACAAAACTGTCACTGGGACAGTACACTTTCAAAAGGTACATGTGCTTGTACCTAAAGGATCCACATTGGTATTTTAAAGAAATGAGTTCACCCAAATATAAAAATCCATCCTCTGTGCTTATGGCATTCTTCTTTTAGACAAACACAACCAGAGTTGTTGTATAATAGTGTTGGGTAGAGTGGCTAATAGTGTTGGTAGTGGCCCTTTTTAAAAGCTAAAAGTAAGTAAAACATCTTACACCACCAAGTGGTTAACACTGTCTTGTGAAGCAGATTGATGAGTTTTCTTAATGGTATATACAGGAATCAGAGATTGAAATACATTCAATACCTTTTTTTAAGACTCTTTGCATACATTTACAGACATTATTACCAGTAACATTGCAGACACTTTAACTTGCAGTATATTTACTAAATACTGATTTAGAAAGAAACGAATCCTAAACTAAAAGTGTATTTATATACTAAATAAAAATGGTAATCCAGCAGGTGGTGCCTTTACAACAGCAGGAAAAACAGTGTTTCCCTAGTTACTATAGTAAACATAGCAGCATGATGTCAAATCTAGCAGGATTTGTTTGATTTCATAAACTACACAGCATCCCATTATTCAAAGGTAATCAGGCGTACTTTAGCATACTTATACCAAATTTATTACCTTGAAATACTTTTTAAGGGCCTTAAATTTCCCTAGATTTATTTATCGATTTTTTATACTTTTTAAGACCTCGCTGACAACCTCTAATAAAATATTTTAAATGTTTAAATTAGAAAAAAAAAATCACTGACTTCCGCTGGAATATGATATGTGATAACGTCCTGGCATCATACAGCTTAGTTTTATTATTAATTTATGTGCTTTTGAAAACTATAAACAAGGGCCACTACCCAGAATGCATTAAAGAGCCAGGATAAAACTGAAAGCTCTTCTGACTGTGTTGGTCTGCATACGGTCATCTCAAGGGTTAATAAATTATGAGGACATTGACATTTTTGGTGAACTATTGCTTTAAATGTACATATTAGTACCGGGAATAGACATTATTTGCACTTAAAGTGGACAAAAAAAAGGCTGTTTTATATTTCTTAGAGCGCTGAAACTTTTCATTTCTGAATCCAAACACTTTTGTTCAACGAACAGGTCATGGAATCTTTGCCCAAAGCAAACATATCGGACGGGCGAGGAATAAACACCCTAAAGGCAGCAGAAAGCCCTTTAATTCTGCATGCGACACCTGAAAAGCGTGTCAAGTCACTGCCCAGCAGTACAACTGCAGAGAAAGGTCAGTTCTGCTTTTGTGGTTTATTTAGATGTTATCTCAAAGTGAAGAATAACCTGTAGGGGAACTGCAGCTCGTCCTGCCCATAACTGCCAACCCAGAATCTCAGTTCTCCCTCATTTTGTCTGGCCTTCAGATGCTTATCTTAATTACACCTATCATAATACCTGCTTGATGGGAAATGCTTTCCATAGGCCTTCATGCATAAACAGTTTGACCACAATCATCTGTATATGATTGCAGGGAAAAAGCTGCGTCTTTTTCACTTCTTATTTGAGATGCTGGAGGATCCAGATATGGCGCATTGTGTATCCTGGGTACCAGCTTCGGTTGGTGTTTTCTGCTTTTCTGCTAAAAACAAGGAGCATGTGGCGGAGCTGTGGGGTCAAAGGAAGGGGAATCGAATGCCTATGACCTACCAGAAAATGTCCCGGGCCTTGCGAAATTATAGCCGCTCGGGGGAGATCATTAAAGTGAAAAAGAAACTGACTTACCAGTTCAGTGTCACTACACTTTCTACTTTACAGAGCCAGCGTGGTGCAAAGAAAGCAGCGTGAGGATCCAAATGAGAGATGAATGACCTCATTATTTCGCACTCTTGTGATATCTTAATTGCCTTGGTAAGAGGAGGAGGGTTAAATTGGTTTCTAATTTTCTTTCTTGATGGTCAGCCGATTATGCTCAGCGAAAAGATGACATTTAGGATTTGTACTTGTTCTGCACTTTGAATATCCCCATGCAGATAAAAAGTCTTTAAAATGTATTGGTGTATGTTTTATTTTTATTTTTTTTACACTTGCAAAAGTTATGTACTAACCAAAACAAATAAAAACAGACCATTATCTCCTACTTCCCGCATTGTTCACTTGTCTCCAGTAGGTGGCAAAGCTGATACACTGCTTTTATTCTGATTGTGACTTCTTTGCTACTGTTGTATTTCTTTTGTGTGTGTTTTTATTCTAGGTTACAACTTAAATCTGAATTATCAATTAGCTGGCATAAAAACACATTGACCATTTTACAGTGCTCAGCATATATAAGTTGACCCCTCACAAATCTATCTTTTACATTCTTATTTTTATTAGGAAGCTAAACAATACTATATTGGTGCATTTACATTAGATTAGTCAATACTAAAGCTAAATCTGGAGCTTATCTAACAAAATAACTTACTATAACAGTCCAAAAACTAATACAGCAAATGTATATGTTACAGAAAATTATTAAATAATTTTTCTTTAAAGAGAAAAAAATCAAGAGAAGCAACATAATTGAAAAAAATTGCAATATTTTGCTTGAATTTAATAGCTTTATCCTTTAATTTCTAAATTTGTTTGGTGACTAAAACACTATTTTAATAAATATATTTGTTTGTTTAAATGCACAAAAAAAACATTGCCTATATTCACTGAGAAATAGATAAAATAATGATTTTCAAAATGGGGTGCACTCAATTATGCTGAGCTCATGTATATAATAACATAAAATAAAAATATAATCTCATAATTTTGTATTTTCAGGTTTCTTTTTAAGTGTAGTTGATGTTTTGATAATGAATCTTCTGTTTTTGTTACTTTTATTAGTCTTTTTGTATTATTGATTTACTTTATAATGTCTTTTTTATAATACAATTCATTATATTTCAGATTATTATAATCCTCTTTCTGACAAACATGCACACTTATTGGTTCGACATATAGTGGTATTGTAATACTGTAAAAATCAATTCATTATTATTTAGTGCACTGCGATCCATTAACAGACTCCCTTAACTGCCTGCTCAACCAAATGGTTCATCATATTTTGACTGTTAAAGTCATTTAAAGAATGACTGTTTTAAATAATGGTTTACACTACACAGCATAATACACTTGGTTTTGGTTTTATTGAAAAAAAACAAAATAATAAGTTTCACATGGAGTCTTTTTTGTGGCATACTTCAAAAATAAAGATGATTCAGTATTCAAATTTTTTTTGTTTATGTTTTTAAATAAATTGCCTTACATAAGTCTTACACTTCATATTTTTCAGATTTTTCATAGTATATGTATTAATTAAAGTAATTTTACCAATTTTATATGGAGGCGACTATTTGCTAAGAGGAAAATATAGAGTTGTCTAAGCAATATGTGCTTTTTTACAGAGAAGGAGGCACCTTTATTAGGCCATGTGCCGTTTAATAAATGTTCTTTAAGCCGAGCCATGAGGTCAGAGAATATGGGTGAAGCAGGGCGACTAACATTGTAAATACAGATTATTTATATTAAGATGTCACTAACATTTAACACCAGGTGGAAAATAACTGTTTATAGAATATTTGTTATTCTTATTATCCTTAATAAATACCCATGAGTCACTTGTGACTTTATATCTCATTTTATATATTTTATTTTAATTTTTTAACAAAAAATATTTCCTTTCTATTACAAATAAATGTGTCCGGACTAAAGAATACCGTTTTCACACAGTTTACAGGTAGCTCACATGCTCAGTATACTGGATCACTTCAGTATGCTCACCATGTTACATAATTGTCCCCTTCTGGCCATGTATTTCATGTGTTAGACCATGTTGTGCTTTCACGCACTTTACTGCAGAAGTGTGCGATTTATCTTTAAATCACTCTAACATATCAAACATTTGTAGAGGTTGATATTTCAGAAATAATGAGGTGTTTTAAAAAATGCATTGAGTGTGTTAGCGACATTAGGAGTTAAGAAATGCAATACAAATTTTTTCTTGATGGGGCAGTTAACAGAGTTAAAATGGCAAGAATGAATTCAAATATGTCTGACAAGATTTTTGTCTTCTGTGATTCACGTTTAAAAATAAAATACTAAAATTTTAATGTGGCATCCTCGAATACATTATTCCCTCTCTGAGAAAAATCTATCCAACCTTTTGTGATGACTATCTCTAAACATTATGCAATATTTGAACATTTTAGCATAACAAATGTCCTGTCTGAAGCACTAAATCTGCATCTGCAGTCTTTCTTTACAATAAATGTCACTTGGTTTAAGATTCTGTTACACACTGCCATGAATGCATGCATTTTAAAGTATGGCTGAAGAGCTTCTGGAGCCAAGGGAAGCAGCTGTTGAGGTTGTTCTCTTGACGGACATCAGTGTGTATCCTTAACCTGTTAACAGCACCTACTAAAAGACAGATTCTTCTCTCTGACTGACTAAGCGGCCACTGGGTGCTACTCGCGCATGCTAATCTGCCTTTCAGAGATAGCGTTTATAGTCTCTCCCTTTATAGTCCCTCAATGACTTATTCACAGAGAGCAGAGGAATCTATTTCTGCAGCGACTATTCATAGTTTCCATTCTGAATGGCTATATCTAAAGCATTGGCTGCTCTAGGGAGAAACTCCATTCTGTTGAATATTAATGAGATGTCGATGTTCGGCTGGTCTTTGTTTAGGTTTGTGTGTGTGTGTGTGTGTTTGAGAAGGCAGGTGCCACTGTGACTCTCTCGTCTGAGCTTTTTATGGTGAGGGTAAGAGCTAAATCCCCATGGGCGACATGAACCTTTAACCAGCAGTCTGGTCCAAATGGTTTTGTGGCCCACATGATACTTCCCCAGCACCCTGCCTTTAGATCTGTGTTATAAATGGGCCTGTCTCTTGCTGGAGGCTCTGCTACCAATAAAGGCCAGAAATGTGAAAAAAAGATAGCTTAAAATCCACTTAGTCAGTCAAGATGGCTTGTAATAGGCGTAGAAGAAGGCACTCCATTCATTATCTCATTACATCTTGCATTGCCGGCTAAGAAAGTGATTTAAAATTCATAATGAAATAACATACTTGTCTTGCACAGGCTTAAAGTTCACATCTTGAAGATTTATTTAATGGGAAGTGCACTTACGGACAGAATGACTGATGATGAATTCCTTTCAAGAGTATTTCAGAGTAGGAAATTGCAGCCTGAAATTACTAAAGGAAGGTGCTGGCTTAATATATAATATGGCACCGGCACAGCAGGAGCATCTAATTTTACTGTTCATGTGACCATATGAGAAGATGACAATTGGTTTTTTCAACCTCTGCCATTGGTTTCAGCGGTACAACCAAAAGCTCACAATGCATAGAAATTAAAGTCTTTTTCAAGTCAGTTTACCTGGCAACACCTCCAGGCAATTCATCCAAAACCAAAGTCCTATCTGTCTGAAAACTGCTCGCTGAACTTATAATTAAATGACATATTTCAAATCAGCAACAAAAACTAAAGTGACCTGTTCAATTATTGTTGTTACTGAAGTACTAAGTGCTGTACTTCAGCACAGCGTCATTCTCCTTTACAGCTGTTTCGACAATAGTCAGTCGATGCAGTTAAAAACACTGAAAGAGCAAAGACCTCAGGACAACTCCATATGTCATGGGATTTATTGTGATCTAATAATTTCACAGTAGTCACCAAAAGACAGGGCTTGCCATATTGACCAAGTAAATCTATACTCTCATGTGTTGCACAAATCACCAGTAGCAGCACATCAACAACAGTGCAACACATCACCAGCAGGTACAACAGTGGTGACCAAGCCTTTCTTCAATTTACCAGTGATCTGTGCAATGGTTTATCATTCCGCCATCTGTCCACCACTTCTACTACATATGCATTTGAACAACTCATTAGGCTTCCCATTTCCTTGATTGGAGTTCCAGGGAGCAGCGCCATTAAAATTGAACCCAGATAAAACATCAGCCTTTCTCATTTAGACATTAAAAACTTTAAAGGTGCTGTATGTAAGTTTTTAAATTATAAAAAAAAAACATAATATGTTTGCAGATATTTAAGAAACATGCTAAGTGAGCATTCTTGTTTATCTGAAAAACAGTGCTGAAGTCAGATATTCTGCTTTGAAAATGTGTTTTTCGTGCCGGAACGCTGTCTTTGTTTTGGTTCTTTTAACTCGCCCAATGCCCCTTTAGCCAATTATATTTCAGCACCCTGGATTGCCTTGGTGGAAAACCACATATTTTTATTCACACATCATGGTCTGTGACCAAAATGTGACCTCCGGTGGACAGTAGCAGCCTCCTAAATGAGACGCAGATTCAGAGTTCTACATGAGGTGGTTATTATATAGCAAATAATATAAATATTATGAGCGTAAACATTAGATGGGAGAGTTAAATTGTAACCGCATGTCCTAACAACATGCTACATAACGAGATACGCAGTGATAAGCAATTTGGCTGTTTGCACCAGATGAAACGACAGAAATTTAAATAAAGCCATTAAGAAGCACAGAATATGCTTTAACTCACGAAATGGAATGGTTTATAATCTAATTAATACATATTAAACCTCTTTAACATAATTAAATGTTCATGCTGAATCACTGATATGTGTTGGTTTACACTGAGTCACAGTTCTAAAGTTCAATTTCAAACTGTGTGTTTCATTTTCAAGATCTGAGGTAAACTATCTGCTGCTGCTTTCAGTAGTATAGCAATAAATGTCATGTAAAATGGCATTTAAACTCACATTATTAGCATTTAACACTGAATAAATCACACGAGGTGTACCTGAGATGATCACAGTTTATCCTGTTGTTAAGATGCAATAAATACAAGCCCTTTTTAATATATTAATTAGAAGTGTTGGTTACAACAAAAACTTCTTTCAATATGGAAAATATTCCCTCTATTGCGTACTGTTTTTTAAAAATTTTTATTTAAATTTTTTATTGCTTGATCATTAGACTTGCTCCTCAATCTGGCAACCCGCACTTGTGTTTGGTTTTATCCAGGAATGTAATACCTAGTTCAACCACTGGGTGTGAAACTTAGATACTGCACCTGTAATAACCGTGTCAGAGTCATTTAGTTTTCCTTCCCTGTGTTCAGCCATGGTTACTAATTTGGTTGTATTTTTGCTTCAATCTTTTTAGCTTTTGTACAATCACCTTGTGTGTTGTTTTTCAGTTTATGACCATGTTTACAACCATGTTGTTCTGTTTGTCCTGTCTTGTCTACTTCACATTCTCTTGTCCCAGCATTAAATATCATATTATTTAGTATTTTATGAGACTTTCATAAGGTGTTCATTTGAGTAACTTAATTCTCTTCATTATGTTAGGACAGCTTAATTTCTCTGACTGACAAATTTTCTATTTTACTTAACCTATTAGCCTAAAATTTTATAACAAGC